CCTAGTTGCCTAATAGATCTGGATGGTTCTCGGAGAATATTTGGGGTTTTCCCTGACAATCTGGTAAGACAGTTCTATCCTGGTCAATCTGTAAAATGTGGAGGTAACCAAAGTAGATGATACAATTGCCCCAGAGTCGTCTTTCTCCATTTGCCAGTCCTAGCCTGCTCCTCTGTTTACGGAGGAGCTGAAGGAAAAGAAGTGACTCAAAATATTTAGAATGATGTTGGTATAAAACCACAAATGAGCATGACCAAGCATTGATAAAAGGCTACACAGAGCTACACAGAGCAGAACAAAAGCAATTCTTTTTTTTGCTTATTTCATCCATAGACTGTCAACCAATAGTCTTGTCATGAAACCCAGACCCTGGGTTTGTGGAAGAAACGGGCAAGTCATTGCTTCAACATTTACATCAAATGAAATTGTGGGTTTTTAAAAGATAAATTTGCTTGTATTCAGTTTGATTTGGATATAATGGGACAGAGGCTATAGTGATGTCTTGTAAAATTATCTGGAATTCTTTGGAGCCCATAAATCAGAGAAAAAGGACAGGTCCTCTGTGTAATGCTATGATCTGTAAGATTGATTGGTTGACTGACTAATTCCAGGCAGGTTTCTGTGGTTCCCTTATTTGGGAGATAATTAACACATCTTTTGAGGGAAAGCATGATACTCACTGTCTTGACTCTCCCTGCTCCTAGACCAAATCTTTAACTGGATCTTTATCCATCACACTATGCTATCTGTCCAGTTTAATTAATAGTTACAGAAATAAACAAGGAATCAGATCTTAAGTAATATCAGCACTGGTTGCTTATCATAAATGCATAGAGATACTATAGACTAAGGAATGAGAACCTGTCATCTTTTAGCAGCTGCTGAACTATAACCCTGGCTATGCCATTATAATCAGCATTTTAGATAGTAGCAGTTGTAATTCAGCAACATTTGGGGTCACAAATTTTCCTTCCTTGTACAGGTAGTGCTCAGTTTACAAGCAAAATTGAACCCAAAATTTCTGTTGCTAAGCAGTACAATTGTTAAGTGAGTTTTGCCCCATTTTACATTTTGCTAGTTAAGTCAAGGTCTACTTATAATAAAAAAGGGCACACACACACAAAATCACAAGAGTTCATTTTTCAGTCTAAAAATCTTAGTGTAATCTTTATATTATGGACACCTTCTTAATCTCTCTTTTCTATATTTATTGAAGATAGGTTTCATATAGTTTGACTTTTTGGTGGTCTCCAAGTGGTAAATGGATATTCTCAAAGCTTATAAAATATTTTCTGCAACATTTCCTGAGAAGTAAATTAGATTTCCCCAAGAATATTTATCATCCAACTCTGTACAGTACTGAATTGGAAATGAGCTATCTTTTTTCTGGAAAATTTTTGATTGCCTCCCAGTAATTTTATTTATTTCACAAATAGTTCTCTGTCAACTACTTCCTTTTAAATTTATAAATCACTTTTCCTTTCCATAAAAAAAATCCCAAAATAGTTTACAACAACATCATACTACTATTATTTCATCTATTACTATGTATATTAGACAAATCTTGTAGGCAAAAGTATACTTGGCAATCAACATATCACTGTCTCATATCACTGGCAGAAACATCCCACATCTGGAACTAACCGAGTCCCAAAAGAAAGAGAATTGTACACAGTGAGCTTCATGGTAAAAATTCTCTTTTTTGCCCTTTGGGTCAAGAAATGCAAACTGTGTTATGATAGCAATGAATACTTTGCAAAGCATGAAGGGATTTTATGAAACAGGGAATTCCTTAAATAAATTGGTGCTAATCTCCGTAGTCTAACAAACCAACCAACAATAATGCTGTAAACATGGTTTCATAGGCACTGCAAAAATATCAATGAAGTGCCCTATTGAGCAACCCAAATTTAGTCCATACTTAAAATTTTTAAAAAAGATCACCAATTTTGGATGACAAATTGACAGTCTTTTTTTTTTAAATAGAGTGTAAACTTGGTTAGGTTGAATATCATAACTCAAATCATTCAAAACCAATATCAGTTCATTCAAAAAAGAAAATCAAGATACCACGAATAACGAACAAAAATATAGACAGAAGCACAAATAACATTCCATAAAATATAGAAAAATGTGTTGAGGAAAACAACCTTGCTTGGCCCCACCAGCCACTAATTTGGCCAGATTCAACATGATGTACTTTTGCTTGACATTCTATATTAGGGCTGTTGCTATAGAGAAGTTCCTACCTCATGTCACTGCCAGCTGTATTTGAAATAAAAATGTAATGGTGAGAACAAGTAGATTGGTATAAGGGAAGCATTTTCATAGGGAAGAGAAGGCAAAGTAGATAGTTTTAATTTTATTTATTTATAACATTTTTGAATCGCCCTTTTCCCTCACAGAGGGGTCCAGGATAACCTATAGTGAGGAATAAGTGTAATGCTGTAAACTTCAAGGATTGTGACTTTTATGCTTTAAATTACTTATAGCCTGAGGTGGATGAAAAATTGAACTGTTTTCAAATGCAGAAGTTCCGAATAGAAATAAAGGCAGCGTGGACATGCAAAATAGCAATTATTACAATTAACAAGAATAACATAGCCTTCAAAAGCTTATAGGCACCCATACTTTCAATGTTATTATTTTAAGCAGCTTCTGGCATATTTAGAAAGGTGGCTCTGTAACAGGTTGCTCTCTTTTTGAATGCCAACGAATACAAAAGGCATCACATTACAGCAAAGGTCCATGCAAAGAAAAGAAAATAAGCAGAGGGAACTAAATCACTATGAAAGACTGAACTAGCGACAAGATTTTTGAAGACTGTAACAAATCACACGCCTGCTGGGAGATTAAAAAAACACCACCACCCTTCTCTCTTACAGCCAAACCTTGGTGTACAGCATGTCAATCAGATGCTTTAGAGCTGTGCCCGAGATTTCCAGTTCTTCCATTTATAAGATACTGTAGGTGCTAAAAATAAGCATTGAAAACGAGACTGGCTTTGTTACCTTTTTCAAGAATGCCATTCTTGGCCTGTACCGCTGTCCTTGATCTATTTGCGTGATGGTCATCGTGATCTACTTTATTAAGCAAAATATTTTTTTTAAAAAAAACAACAAATGTATTTTCACCAACTGCAGAGGAAAAGGTGATGTTAGTCTTAGGGATTTCAAGCAAACTGCATTACAGTATTGAAACTCGGCAGGCTACAGAATAAAAACGCCGTGGAAGCAGGCACGATCTTCTATAGCCAATCAACGCTGGGCACTCTGGTTTTATTTGCATGAGCAGGGTTGTGCTTTCTACCGATTAACATTAGGGGGAGCCCTTTCATCTTGTTACAAAGGCTGAGCTGGTAGCAAAAAGAATTTGCGTTGTATCTAAATAATGCTTAATAAGGAAATAATAAATAATACAATTAATTAATAATGCTAGGGTTAGTAAGTGTTAGCAAAATGCACATCACCCTAAGATAAAATTAGGGAAGGAAATCTGCATGCTGTTTGGCTGAATAGGTTCACAGGCACATTTTTTTCCACATTTAATTATAATGTGACAAGTTACAATCTGTTTTATTTGTAGTTTGATTTAGTCACACCTGTGGAAATAATACAGAATATGAGACCAAACTTTTTTTAAAAAATATTTCCTATCTTTATTTAAACAGCTCAAAGCACTTGATATACGATTCTTCTCCAATTTTATCTCCCATCAGTCTGATACTTTAATCAACATACTACACTAGCTGATCTGATATAGGAATAAACATGTGTAACTGGAAATGATGAAATAAGTCAGATTCTTGCAAGTATTGTTATAACACCACCACCAGCCCTGCTCCAAATAACTTATGGCTTCCTGACTGAACAGTTAGTCTCTGTGTAGCATAAATAAATCCAACAAAGAAAAATACTGTATATTTAAATAGTATATAGACAAAGATATATAGACTTATTTATTAACATTTGTATGCCATTGTATTCCCAAGGGCTAGATGATAAATAAATTTAATAAATATTACACACACACACACACACTTTTATTGCTTTTAACCTTGTAAGCTGCACAAAATCACCTTGTGGTAAGATGGGCAGCAAATAAATTTAATAATAAATAATGGTGATGATTGGTGCATGCATTATATTTTATTCCATAGGGAGAAGTCCAGCTATCCAGATAATTACTTTGTATTTATCAAAGGAAGCCATACAGAACACCACACAGACTGGAGAAACAACCAGAAACTCAATTAACTAAAACAAGTTGCTGAATATTACATATTTTTGCATAGACAAGTTTATTAACATATTTAAGTCATACATGTAAAATGTTTTAAGTCCTGAATCAATTGTTTCATGAAAGAAATGGATGTTTGTTATGCTTTTGCTCCTGAACTGGCATTTATGTCAGTGACAGAATATTTTGAGGAGTTGCCACTTTTCCTCATTTGTTCTACGGATACCACTGACTCTTATGTGTGGTTTGATGGTACTCTTTATAGATAATTATCACTCTTTGCACTTCCTACATATAATTTTCTATTGATTTTTCCTATTCTATGTCCCCTCTCCCAAATTTGGGGAAAAAAATATCAATCTGGACAACCCCAAAATGGATATATTCCAGCTAATATGTCATAAATTCTGGACATGCATCCTAACAGGCGAGATCAGCCGAGGCTCATAACGAGGCAGCAGCTCGACACACCAAAACATCCTATGCACCCTAAAGACGAGTTCGAGCCATTTTTTTTTAATAAATCAGCCCCCGGGGGGGGGGGGGGAGAAGGGGACCCTATCACGTGACAATCCGAAGAAGGGGAAATTCCGAACACAGAGACCAGATGATAGGATCACGTGGTAGATCCAGGGGCGGGGCCAGTCAATTTAGAAGCCGAGAAGCGGGTACCACATGAAAGCAGGATGAGTCCGTGATTGGGCATTCTTGACGCGGCGTCTCCTGTCATAGGGGCAACCGGAGGGGCGGGGCCTGAGCGAGCGACCCGGGTTCCACGCAGGCGCAGAGCGGTGCAGGGCCGCTGCGGCCGCTCCCTGGCTGGCAGTGCTCGCTAAGATGGCGGATTTCCTGCCGTCGCGGTCCTCGCTGTCGGGTTGCTTCCCCGGCTGCATGCTCAACAGCACCGAGGCCGAGCAGCAACGGCGGTCTAAAGAGATCGATAAGTGCCTGTACCGCGAGAAGACCTACGTCAAGCGGCTCGTCAAGATCCTTTTGCTGGGCGCGGGCGAAAGCGGCAAGAGTACGTTCCTCAAGCAGATGCGCATCATTCACGGGCAGGACTGGGACCGGTCAGCCCGGGAGGAATTCCGCGCCACCATCTACAGCAACGTCATCAAGGGTACGGTTGTGGGAGGGGGAGGCGGGCAGGCTGGTCGCCCGGCCGGCCGGCTGAGGCAATTTCCCTCGGAGGTGCGGTCGCCGTGGGGCGACGAAGCCCCGAGAACAGAGAGGCGGCTTCGGAAAAGACCCCAAGCGAGGGGCTGCCGAAGAAACCCCGGCGTTGGGGAGCGAGCGGGGAGAAGCCGTTTAAACGCCCGAAGCCCCTCGTGCAGGAGATCTGCGCGGGCACGGCCGAAAAAGGAAAAAAAAAAAGCCCCCCCCCCCCCCCCCCCCCACACACACCTTCCTGAAAGCATGGCTGAGGCGGCCACCTTCCGCCCGACGCTCGTTAAGTCGATTCCGTCCGGCGGTAGCACTTTGGGGGACCCTCGAGAGGGAAAAACGGCGGCGGATGCTGGGAGGGGCTGGTGGAAGTTGGGGGGGGGAGAATAAAATGGGCTGAGGGGAGATGGACTCCGGGCTGGGGTAGCATCCGAGGGGCAGGTGCCCCCCGTCCTCGCCTCGGTTTTCGGATCGGAGCGAGGAAGAGGCAGTTCGGCGAAATCGGCGTCTTGTCTGGCGGATGTGGCCTGAACGGGGGGGGGGGGGGGGGGGGGCGGGGAGGGTTTTGTTTTTTTCCTGCTTGAGTTAGAGATGCGGGAGCCGTTCAATCAGGCCTCGGGGTGAATGTCAGAATCGCTCTTTGTGTGCCCTGCGAGGCGTCGTCCTCGGTGCCTTAACGGGATGGCCTTTTGGGGTAGTAGTGAAGCCTTTTGTGTCAGACGGCCTTGTTTCTGTTGTACAAGTTGCAGCGGTCGCTCGCCTGTTGCGGTGGGGCTGGAGGGGAGCCCAGAGACGGAGGGATATGTGTGGAAGAAATTAGGGACAGGTTTGGAGGCATTGCTATTGGGGTCGCAAAACTGGTGTGGGCTGCACATGAGGTGCCTCTGAGAGGTGGTGGTGGGATGTTGAGATAGGGAGCTTTAATTTGGACATGGGGAAAATGTGCTAGGAAGGTCAGTTTCCAAAGAACAGGAAGGAAAATTTAGAGTAGCATAGATGTACAGCTTCATCCATGCCCGTGTTTCATTTTAAACAAATATTGTGCCCAGTGTGTATTTTGTTTTCTTTGGCATGGTCAAATGAAAATAGTTGTTGAAAGCAAAGATTTGTTGTGTTTTCAATTAAATCCAACTGAATTCTTGTTGCAAGTTATAATCATGGAGATAGATAACACTTTCTATTTTTAGATGCTGTGGAACTGTGAAAAAAAGATTTTGGAGGGATAGGTAGGGAAACCACTTTGCGGGATAAGTAAATGAGAGAATGGTAAGCATGGCACTAGTGGATGCTTTAGTTCTAATCATGCAGTAGCAGTTCATAGAAATAAATTTGGAAATTTTTCAACAGCAAATGTATTTTTCTTTTAATGCCATGCAAGAAATAAAACAACTTTGAACATCAGCTAATTTGTTTTCTTCTACCACATCTTAGAAATCTGGAAACCTGTGATAACATATTGTACTACAATTTAAGTGTAGCTTAAATAGACATTATTTGACACTGAAAACTGTAATAGACATCATTTTCATATTTAGTTATTAGGAAATGAAGATAAAACCATTTCAAATATATGAGTTGTATTTGTTTACATTCTGTGGTGGTTTTAAGATATAAGCTAGCTTAAATATAGTTTGATTTGAAAGATAGCTTATATATTGAATGAATCAACAAAATCATGTGTCAGTGAGTGCAGCGGAAATGCAACAAAAGTACTTAGCTTTGTTACATACATACTAGTGTATTAAGGCCACTGTTACAGTTTCTTGCAAAAGATTGCTAATAGAAGAATACACTATAATACAAAGTATCTGTTGTAATTTACACTCATTCCATCACTAAAATATTGTTTCATGTTTGTCAGAAGTATATATTTCTTGGTAAATAACTTTACGTGTACTTTTTTAAAAATATAAATAAAGCCTCAACTGCTAATTGCTATTCTAAATTGTTGGATACACTAAAAACAAACATTTTCAAACTTAATTTTGATAATGGGACAATTTGTATATCTAATACCAACAGTAAAATGTATAACAAAAACAGACTACAGTTTGCTATAAAAATCAAGACATTTCCTTTAATTTTATTTTTTTCTTTAGATTTATCTCTCTCCTTTCCAGGCACTCAAAGCAACATACATACTGGTAATACTCCATTCCAATTTCCCCCTACAACAACTGTGCAACATAGTTTGGCCTAAGAGAGTGACTCACCCCAGATTACCCAGTGATTGGAAATAGAGTTGAACCTGGGTTTCCAACCTTGTCCAACACTGGGTCTTGTGGATTAAAAAACTATTGATAATACATTCAAACCATAAAATAATTTGTCTTGGCTGTTGTAATCTTGGTCACATTTTATTATAGATAATGATTATATCAGCCTTTATGAAATACCGTAGTGAACTATACAAAGTGCATTGTGTTTATAATCGTGATATATTGATAACATTAATAAATATTAGTTTACATGCCTAAAAGGTGTTATCCTAATGCAGGTGGTGACCTTTAGCAAAAGACAAGTGGTAATATAAGACTGTCATCCAACAAGTCTATGACAATGGTGGAACAAGAACTTTTTTATGCAGTACACCAATATTCCATTGAGTGTTGAACCAATTAATACACATTTTGCTTTTAAAATTTTTATTTTTAAATATTTCTTAGGTGTTTAAACATCAAAAGGGTTTACAATGTAGTCACATTTATTTGTATTTTAAGTTAAATCCAATGCATTTAATTGAATTTTTGTTGCAACTTAGATTCATTTAAACTTTGACATATGTGAGAATGATTAATTTATATTTTATCATTTTCTCCTGTTTACTGCAGCTGTTTCTCTGTGTGTTTATGAGATGTAAAACTGCTGAGTTGAATATAGTAGAACTCCAGAAGCATGTAATTAATTTTCTCTACTTTAAATGTCTGGAATTGCGTATATGGAAATAATATGAGCAATACTAAACCTTTTACTGGAAAATTAAAATTTGTAAAATGTGATTCCAAATTTGCTTGAATCAGAATGCTAGGTGAATAGATTTCAACTCAGTCTTATCAGCCGTCACTTCTAATTTAAAGAAAGTGTTCTTACTTTGAGAAATTGACTGCTTTAATTATTTAAAAACAATTTTAGAAGTATTTGTCATATGTACAAGAGCTGGTGAAATAAAAAGAAATAAGAGACCTCGGTGTCTATAACTTGGTTCAGGTTACTATAGTGGACTTGGGATTGTTATCTGTTTGTAGTCTGCATATATGTTTTTCCATTATAGTTTCTTAAATTTTGGGTGAGAATACGAAGCTGTCTGTATACATGGGTCGTGTTTTGTGTTTTGAGCGTATCCAGTTATTAAGATTAATGTAAATGTATTTGGAAACTAACACATAGTTTCAATTTTGTTGAAGGTGTTAGAGTCCTTGTGGATGCTCGTGAGAAACTTCATATTCCATGGGGAAATCCTGCTAATCAAATAAATGGCAACAAGATGATGGCCTTTGATACCCGTTCAGAAGTGGTGCAAGGGATGGTGCAAACCTATACTTTCTTACAATACCTTCCAACAGTGAGAGCTTTGTGGACCGACAGTGGTATCCAGCATGCTTATGACAGACGCAGAGAATTTCAGTTGGTAAGAGATATAACTCTTCATGTTTTTGTAGTTACCGTGATAGTGCAATTTAAAATCTTTTATAAATGAAATGGAGGTATTTTTGGTGAACTTTTAGTTACATGAACATGAATTTTAATACTGTACTTAATGATGGACATAAGGGTAATAAGAACAGTAAAATTAATTTCCATAAAGCCAAAATGCAGAACTATAACAGGTTTAGAATTTAAATGTTGATTTATAACCAATATTCAGCAGGCATATTTTTGTTCACGCAGTGAGACTTCCTAGTTCCTCTCCACTCAGTTCTTGGTACTTTCCTAGCTGGGCTGCTTTTTTATTTTCTTATTTTGCAGACATTTCATAACTTAGCTAGGTAATATTATCAGTGCAAAGGAGACTAGGCTTTTTTGACTGTCATACTCCCACCAAGACTGGCAGGATAAGCCACTATATATAAACAGTCAGAAAAGCCCAGTCTCCTTTGCGTTGATAATGTTACCTAGCTAGGTTATGAAATGTCTTGACTTGACGGTTCCTTTATTAGGGAATTGTTTCCTCCCTAGTTGTTCATCTGGTGCTGTTTCTTGATTTATTGGGTGTTGACTGCTGGGGGTGGGTGGGGGCAATGTGTACTAGGCTGTTTTCTTCCTTCCTAGGTTTTTCATTGTATTTTTTAAATGGTATGGTAACAGTTTTGCAATTGAAATGGTTTCAACTGGTAAACTTAACATTTTAAATCCAAATCCAATAATGCTAGTGAATTTCTAAAAACGTGGTACTCAGAGAAATCAGTAATCAGTAGACACATGGAGATAAAGCCCATTTATATATACTCCTCTCATACTGATGATGTTATCTAGCTGGGTACAGTAACATCTTCAAGAAAATAACTAAGCTCACAGACTACCAAGAACTAAAAAGTTCAGCCATCAGCTATACATATTCCTTACTACAGATCTGAACCCTTTACAGGCTGTAGAATGGTTTGAACATTATGTAATTTGTTTCCAAATTATGAATAATGTTAGTTGTTGCTGTAATATTAAGCAAGAATGTGTAGATGGCTGTTTGCAGTGTAGATGGTTGTTTGTATGTAGTGCATTATACACGAAGATTACTGTAATAGCATAGAGTATTTTTCATAATGTTCTATAGTTGGGAGATTTATTGTACAAAAGCACGCCGGTTATAATGAAAACTTGTGCACTGAATACATTGTTATAAATCAAATCTGTACTAGAGAGCAGGAAGTAAGTTGAACATTTATTTCCATATCTTTAAAGACTACACTCTATGTCTTTAAAAGCTATGTCCAATATTTATTGAATGTACTTCCATTGTGCAATAGACGTTCCTGGTTCTCCCCCCACTCCCCCAGTCTAAAATCAACTTTAGTGGATGTCCTATTATTTGTGTGTGTGTATATATAATACATATAATATATATATATATGATTTTGTTCTATCATGATAGCTTTCTAGGTATGGGTTATCATACACTGTTGCAAGTGTTGTCTTTAATACATGTTCTAAAAAGAGAAATGGCAGGTAAAATCCTTTATTAGGAACGTTCCCTTAAAAAAACATTTTATTTTAGATTTATTTTATGGTAATAAGAAATCCATATGCTTCATTGTGATAGCTCAGTATCCAGATCAGAATTAGTGGGAATTGAGAAGTAAACTAGAATATTTCAGAGAGACTCACATATTGCAGAAGTAGGAAGAATAAAAAATTAGGGAAATAAGTATAAGATTGGGGAAGGTGGAATCCAAATAATATAATGGGAATGTCAGTGCTCTTTGACTGTTGAACATTGAGTGGCCTTGGGAAAATTAAAAATAGAAAATCAAGATGTATAAGAGGGAAGGCATAGAAGAATATGCAATATATTGGAAAGAAAAGGTGTCATGCTGGCCTGAATACTGCAGCTACCAGGAGCTAGCTACACAAGAACATTGTTTTACAAAAGGATTTCCAACAAATCAGAGAGCTGAAGTGATGGAAGTTCATAGGCCAAAGGCTAATTTCACCCAGCTTACCTTTGCCTTTTTTATGGGATATTTCCAATTGCCCACCTTATTTACTAAGCTGAAGTGAGTTCAGTGGATAATTTGCTTTGCAGTTGCATGTAATTGTTTTAAATTTCTTTAAAAGAACAAGGTTGGCATGCACAGGTGATGTCCCTGTTAAATATATTGCTACTTTAGATGTCATATTATTTATCACATCACAGTATGTCAAAAGTGGTGATGTATAAATTTTCCCTCCTGCTAACACAGTTGTCCTGCTTGCATCTTTGAAAAACTTCTGTGGTTGAAAAAAAAACTCTACACTGCCATGGGATATGTTATAGGAGAGCAGAACTGATTGAAATAGAATGTATGAAAATGTTTCTCTACTTACACAGAGTATTATTGGACCCAAACCAATACGAACAGTATGTAAAATAAACCAACAGCAATACACCTTTAATGTATAAATGTAAAAACAGGAAGTTAAACATTTCATTACTTTATGAGCCTCTTCTGAGATAACTTGGGGAAAAGGAAGCCTTTGTATTTTTTGTTCTTTTAACCAATTTTATACTGGATTTGGAGAATGGGGAGAAAAATTAATGCAAAGCCATTTCAGTTATTGCTTGAATACTGGAAAGCAGCTTTCTCCAACTTTGGTACCTGCAGATCTACAGTTTTCAGCCCAAAAATTCCTCAAGTGGTTTGATCTGATATTTTTTGGAGTTAAGTTTATTGGGAAAGGTTGGTCTACAGTGTCATGGTTCATGAATGTTTTAACAGTGCAAAATCACCTCTCTCCCATTTAAATAAGGACATTAATGCTTCAGAACTCTTTATGTGATTTGATTAAAGTATTTAGAAATTTAAAGTGTTTTTTATCAGGGCAATCTGGTCTACCCAAATATGAGACAGAACATACTGCTTCCGCTTTCACCTTTTCAGCCACAATCCAGGAGTTTTCACAGGCAGTCAGTCGCTTTTACGGCAAACTATTTTTGTGTTGAATTCATATTTACTGACAAAGAAATAAAGGGAGGCTAGTATAGATCTGTTTCAAGCTATTTAGCTCTCATTAGTTGGCCTTACCCTTCTGGGATTCGAACCCGGGCTACTTGCATATTAGGTAGATGTTATTAGCCTCTAAGCCATGGGTTCTTTATCGCTTGTCAGCTATTATCAGGAGAAAGAGTGTTTTTTATCAGGGCAACCTAGTCTACCCAAACATGGGATGAAGCTTGCTGGTTCTGCTTTTGCCTTTTCAGCCCCAATCCAGGAGCCTTCGCAGGTAGTCACAGTGACATGGATCGTTTTGGTGCTATATCTTGCTAATGCAATCTTAAGAATTGTTTGAAAGCCAAATTTGTTAAGTGCACATTTTAAAGAAATGATTGCCAAAATAATGGGATTGTCCATTCCAATCTAAATTATTTGAGGTAAGTTTAATATTTTTATTATGAAATGATAATCAGCATACACAATTGTGAATAACATTGGGAATATTTTTCATTAGCCATCTATTTAGTTGATCTTTGATTTGTCACTTACTTATAGTGACAAATATAAAGCACTTCTTCTATGTAATAAAACAATACATGCAGTTTCCATAGTCCACAAAACCATAAAGATTATGTCATTAAAAGAGAGGTTCAGTTTTAGAACATGTAACCTTTTAACCCAAAGGAAAAAGTTTACAAGTACAGTATGGAATGCATATTGTGTAATAGTAAAATATTAATGCATTCAATATTAATGTTACTGCATCCAGGGTTTCAGTTATAATAATTGGGAATGAAAGGACAATAAATGACTGATGCAGAAACAATGGGAAGAAATCTCAAAATACACTGTCGATATGTCATAATACTTTTCAAAGACATTCCTACGTAGATTGCTGTGACTTTCCATAATTTCAAGATAATGTTTGCCTTTTAGATTACTTTTTATAATGGTACATTCAAGCCTATTTGACTGTTTTTCAGTATGGGCATTTTTACAGGAGATTCCTGTATAGAGTTTTAGAGTTGCTTTCTACATTTCAGCTTGGATACTGCTTGCTTTGCAGGCAGGTATACTAGTTACTCACAGTATATTTTGAATACACTGTGAGTAACTTTTCTCAGCATGTTAGAGGAAGTAGAGGAAAGAGATTCATCCTTGCACATCCTCCACCACCTCTTCCTGCACAGAAATTTAGTACTCTGAAAAAAGCACATGTGACTTTCAGCCAAGTTTGGAAGTATGAATTGCTTATTTGCGCTAATTTCTTGCATCATAGTCTTTCCCTTCCCTTTTACTTCCTGTCTCTGACAAACTTCAGTAATAAGAACTGAATGACACAGTACCAGAAAGTGTTGTTGTTCTTCTACACATTTGGTTGTTCATATTTCAGTATTTTGGAAAGTGAGCAGGATATAAATTGCCTTTAACCTGCAGCATATTTTAAATCTCCAGGTTGCTTAGCAGTTACATTCTAAGCAGTTGCTTTTTTTAAAAAAAACCCAGTTGTTTTAGTGTGTATGTGCACACACATATACACAGACATGCACATAAATAAACACACAACAAATAAATTAGGCTTATATGTGGTACTAATTACAAATGACTCTGAATAGTGTATATTCCATGTGCATTCTTTTCAGTAAGAAAAATTAAAACTATATATATTCATATAGATGCTTTTAGCATGGATATATCTGAAATAGAGCTTTTAAAAATAATCTATACAGTATTTGAGACTTATATTATTGCTAGTGTAAGTGTGATAATGTAGATCAGATTTTCAGCTAGTTCAGTTCAATTTTCAATCCAGTCATCTTCCTTCTTGCCCAATAAAAGTGTTCCTTAAATGGTACTGGGCTCACCAAATATTCCTGCCACCAGAAAGGATAAAGACAATATTTGCCAGTTTGTTATTTCCTTGTCACTTATCAATTGTGGTTTATGAAAATCTGAATAAGAGGATGCCTCATCTCAGTGGAGCAGTAGGAATGTTTCATGA